GCACCAAAACGAAGTTGGAATTGAAATCACCATACCATCCTACCCCCTCTGGCTCTGTAATAACATTGTCAGATGAAAAGCTAACAAACAAACCTACCATAAATTCTAAAGGCATATTCCACTTTCACACTCTTGGGGGCCTACAGCAAAAAGGCTAAGGTTAGAGTCTTTCCAAGTCACATCATAGAAGTTTGAGAAAACTGGACTCTCCTTCCAGGAAAAAATGTCTCATAATTATTACTATAATCACGATTCAAAACCAAGACTAATGAATACAATTTAACTAACAGAATAATACTGTGTTTCAGTTTCTACAAGATTTTGTTAAAAAGTTACATGATGAATTGCACTTTATCTTTAGATATCAGCTTTTCATTGAAACCCATACTGATACAAATGAAATACACTTAATAACAGATTAAAACTGTTAGTATTTCAAGTAAGTTTGTAAACTCACATTTTCACTGAACACTGACATCATATCCAAGAAATCTTCAAATGTGAGTTCACCATCCTTTGATGATGAAAACACTTTGCAAATTCTGTCTTTGAAAGGATTCACCTGCATAGAAACAGACATCACTGTACAAACATCCAAAGATTTAAACAGCGACCATGGTTACCAGATTACAGTGTGATAAGCTACCTGTACAGTCTACCATGCAACTGACACTGTACAGGCTAGCATTTATTTACTGGTTTACACCACAATTTCAGTGTTAAATAATAACATTAGTTACTATTTATATCATGGTAATAGATGTCCAACAGTAGCAATTAAATAATGAAAGAATGAAAGATGCAAATGCAACCATACTACTACTGGAAACATGACCTGAAAAAATTTCAGGCCCTGAATGGGATTCGAACCCACGACCGTTGCGTTACCGGTGCAATGCTCTACCAACTGAGCTATCAAAGCCACATCAGAGCGGCCATGTGTGGGTTCAGCCCTATATGTTCAGTGGATGTAATACTCCACTCAAGCATATGAATTCCATGGTAATAGATGTCCAACAGTAGCAATTAAATAATGAAAGAATGAAAGATGCGAATGCAGCCTTAATACTACTGGAAAAATGACCTGAAAAAATTTCAGGCTCTGAACGGGAGTCGAACCCACGACCTTTGCGTTACAGGTGCAATGCTCTACCAACTGAGCTATCAAAACCACATGAGAGCAGTCGTGTGTGAGTTCGGCCCTATATGTTCAGTGGATGTAATACTCGGCTCAAGTATATGAATTCGCCAGCACTTCCAGCAGTTATAAAATGATAATTATAATAGTTATGACATAACTGCTTAATCCCTGTTGATTAAGTTGTGGTCATTTTCAGGTCATAACAGGTTGCCACAGCAACCATAACCTGTGAAAAACACTTAAACTTTACAATGGAATCCCACGTTACGGTCACCTCATTAATACAGTGGCCTTGCTATTATGGTCACTTGTTTTTGCCGCATCAAAACGCCCATTCCTTTTCTTTTAAGAAAACCCTGTTAATGCAACCACCTCGTTAATAAAGCCACACTCTGAAATCCCAATTAGTATAATCCTTTGTAATTTTACCCTGTTTATATGGCCAGTCAAGCCAATTATGTTCATCTTGCCATTGTTAATATTGCAAGTAGTGATTAAAGTTTCAAGTTTTACAAAATTATACCAGCATTCCATATACTTCTTACAGAACAGTTGTTTAGAAGCACAACTGTGATATGTCTGTTAATCAAGACGTCACTCAATGAAGACCAATCATGAAATTTGACACTACCCTGTTAATACAGCCTCCCTGTTAATATGGCCAAATATTCATGGCCCATTGGTGACAGTATTAACAGGGTTCCACTGTACATGTAACTTTAAATGCCCATAACTTGAAAATGAGTTCCCCATATTTTAGTTAAGGTATGCCTACCACTACTTCTACGATTTCAAGATACACGTACTTGGAACAATTGTCTCATCTGAACTTATCTGCACCTTTAACTGCTATTATTATACATTGTAGTCACCATCTGTCTTCTCATTGGCTAAAAGCATACAGTTAATTCTGGGAAACAGCACAACCTACAGATTCACTAATCTGCTAATTCACTAATCTTCTAATTCACTAATAATTCACTAATCTGCTAGCAGATTAGTGAATAATCCATAGGTTGCACACACAATGCATGATTTCCAAGAGCAATGTCAAGTTCACGTAAGAACATGGCTTGTCAAAAATAAACTGTGTTCGGTGCGATAATGCATTTGTCGTTATTT